TAATGTGACCAACTGGATTTATCATATGGGCCAAAGTTCTACTATGGCTTCCACCTCTCCTTTTGCAAATGCTAACAATATCCTGTTATTTAACAAACCAATTAACTAAATACAAATTGATCCTCGGACTCTTGAGCCCAACAAGTAACATTAATTCAATTTGTAAAATATGAAAGACATACATCTTTATGTGAGTAAGAACTTGAGGTGCCTGAATCAGCAAACATTAGCCTAGTCTCCCTCATTTCAAAATGAAAAATCAAATAGGCAAAGCATCAATGAAACAAATATACAGTTTGTGTTTTATGAATTAATGTTTCCATCAATTCTTATGTCATTTTCAAAGGAGACAACAATTCCAGCTGGAATAAAAGCATTGTCGTGAGAATCCTCCTTTATGAAAAAGTAGAATTCCAGAAGATTTAGCATTTCAGTACGACCAACGTAAGGGAAACCCTGGGGAAGCCGGTGGATGAGGAATTTTACGGGACAGCAACGGCGGTTTTTGGGCTGGTTTTTCTCACAACTATGGGATCTGTACTAATATGGTGGTTGAAACACGAGCTCTTCTCAACGGTTTACGTATGTGCAGGAAGATTGGAGTTAGAAACATCATTGTGGAGACTGATTCCAACATCGTGGCGCAATGGCTTCAAAAAGGAGTTTGCTCATTATGATGGCCTTGGGTTTATTGGGATGAAATTGTGGATTTGATCAGATTACTTAACGCACAAGTCCAACACGTGTTCAGAGAGGCAAACATGGCAACTGACTACCTTGCCAAAAATGGCAGCAATGGGTCTACTTTTAATTTGTCCTTCGGCGATAAGGTTCCGACACTTCTTCGAGGCATACTACATACGGATATAATGGAATTTCCATATCTTAGAAGCTAATTTGTTTGGTCTTTTTATGGTTTTTATTCTATTCTCGGCTTTTGTAATCTTGGCTTCCCTCCACCATAAGTGAGGCTTCTTATTAATAAATAAATAAAAAAAGACCAACGTAAGGCTTCCCAAACAGATTTTTGAGCCTTAAATCACAATTAATTTGACTCTTCCAACGAGCATCCCTGAGGTTGTTCCTTTTTACGTAGTCCAGTAAAAGAGACTGGACATCAAACTGTGATACAACTGATGTATCACCAATCCTCATGTGTGCAACAAACTCCAAAAGGTCTTTACATGCCCATTCAGTACCTTCATCAACGCTTGGTTTGTCCATTCCTTCATCAGTACTTAACTTATCTTTCCCTTTGTTATGGCTATGATCCGTTTCTTTTGAAATGCCGAACTTTCTATGCTTAATGAATCCTCCTTCTGTAAATTCAGTTGTCCTTTGGGATTACTTGACATGACTCCAAATGTGTAGATGACCTGTATGAAATAGAAACTTTTCCATCACGAGTATTATTATGCACATCAGTTACCAGATGTGTACAAGCCACTGTACCCACTTATTTACAGATTTTTTGCATGAGTGAGCTCACTCAGCTTTAACGATTGCTTCTCTTTCAAGTAAATCCAATACGCCTTGAAGAGATACTCCCAGCTACTTTTGTGATCAAAATCTCTTGAACCTACAGAAATTAAATGAGGTAGAAATTCAGCACGATAGTTCATTCTGCAAATCAAGTGGATTTTAATCCATCCAAACTTTGGATTAAAATCAAGTAGAAATACAAGCTACTGTCCTTACCGATTCTGAGTTCATTTGGTCTTTATTTTCAATCGGCATTATAGTCCTCATGCATATTGTGCGAAAGCCTTTGTTTCCTTTAATGCACACGTAATCAGCATCTTTAGTGATCCCTTATACAAGGAATAAGTACAAGTATAGCACATGTAATGAGAAGCCCTCTGACATACACTACATATGTGCCAACCTGAAAGCAATAGCACCATATGGGCATTAATAGATTACCAGACATGAGCACAGCACAAATTGCGCATTCCATACTTAATTCGAGCTTCCGGTGTTCAGTACTTAGAAAGTTTTCAGACAACGTCACATGAAAAATTAGGGAAAGAATGGGAATGAAGAATTAACAAAGAATGCTAAGGATTTGAAACTAACATGGATTAAGTTATGACAATATCACAGCAAAATACATGATAAGAAAAATATTCAAGGCTTTAACATTCTTGCAATTTCTCACAATTAAATTGCACATCTACAACACCTTTTGTTACTTCTATTACTAAACATAGTTCAACAAATTATCAGGAAATAGGCTGACACCTTAAAGACTCAAACTTTCACCACAAAATGCAATGACACACTAATACTAACAGGAAGTTGAAAGAAATCAAGAGACTCCATTAAATCTTATATTGAAAAAGAGCAACATACCGCAATTCCATTTAGCTTTTGATCTAAAAAATGACTCATCTCGCTTAATACAGGTAGGATGATATGCTTTTGGACAGCCTCTGTCCACAAATAACAGAAAATCAGCAAACTATGAAAGAAACTTTTCAAAATTTTAATTTCTGCAAAATTATTATTATTATTTTTTTAATATCTTTTTTCTTAGATAGTGAAGTAGAACCATTTTCACAAAAATCAAAAATAGGATCAAAGAGTTGAAAATCTTTCAGGGCACTCGACTTATGGACATGCCCTGCCGAATGTAAAATGTAGAGAACGGAGTTCTTACATGCAGAAAATCAGATGGTAACAATCAGCCAGCACGGATAAGTTGTTATCATTTTAAGAAGCCGTTTTCATCATTTATAAGTAAAAATATTTTTGTCCTCTTGAAAACATGAATTCATTGCAATTAGAGGAAAATAAGAAATAAGGATTGTTTAACTTAGGTCTGCAATGGGAGACGTAGGATTTCATCCCACGTGTCATAAGCTTGAAAAGAGTGAGAATTCATGGAGACGAAAGAGTAAATTTTATCTATGGGTGGTGATTTTATTTGAGCTCATGGCGATCTTAAGGGGTTGGAATTGAGATCACGATTTTATCTTATATTGATTGTTGGCATTTGAGCATTCTGTGGCATGAGTGCCATATGTATGTATAGATGCCAACACGAACGCCCATTATGAATGTTTTGTTTGAACCTCCATATGCATGATAGATCCTTATGATGGTGGAATACATAGTTCTGTAAAGATTCTACTCATTTGCGATCACAGAGCACGAGACAACCCCCATCAAAGCAAATGAAGCAAACATCTTCTTCCTCCTCTCTCTTCCGCCCCTCGGTCAGCCGTCCCCGTTTCCGTTTCTGGCCAAGAGCGATCACCTGCCAGACCTCGGGCAGCTGTGGAGGCAGCTTCACGACAGTACACGACAGTTGGGACATGAGTGCAAATGTGGAGTGTTATGAACATTCCACTAAAAACAAAGGTTTTTGTGTATGCTACATCTTTTTGCCAACAACCAAAAAAATCAAACATAGCATTGAAGAGCCCAGAAGGAATTTCTTTGGTCAACGACATCTCTTGGTTAAATTGCTCTGACATCCAGAGGGTAATTTGCAAAAAAAAAAAATCCTGAAATTCAAGATAAAAATATGCATAAGTAAGCAGAGAATATATATGCATTTATTTGTTCTTCCAATCTTCTTCTACTTTTTATTGCATTTCATTGTTTTATTTTGTATTTATGATTGGTGGATGAAGAAAAAGAGAAAAAAATTGTTTCAAAAGTTGTCAAAGCATTACATGAAACCAAATTTAAGTAGGAAATATTAGCAAATGTAATAGATTATAAGGAATACTTTACCGTTATATAATCCTTCATCAAATTTTCAAGTAGTAGTTTTAGGAATTTTTCAGCCAATTCACCAACTAATGATAAAGAAATAGCTCCGGTATTGTCTGCTCTGAGAAGAAAAAACAAAATAAATGTCATAGACATTTTAAATTTACTGTTAGTTACATTATATACATAATTATTATTTTGGATAGATGGTATTGCATTAGGAATAATTACCTTGGAATTGTTCTTGCATGCATGTATTTGCAATAATTGCAAAAATACATTTCATTGAAATGAGCAAAAGACATCCAACCACAAGTGTCACAAGCCATATACCAAAGTGATTGAACTCTTGCCTTCAATTCTAATTGACATATTATCCAAAATGGTTTGAGCTGCAATACATAGAATGGATGTTAGATTCGTTTAAGAACATAAATAGGTATGTGGTAGATAATGGAAGATAATACGCAATTAAGCATTCAAGGTCTCAGAATGAAAGCAAAATAGCTTTAAAAATGTAGTCACACTATTCATTTTGAGTTCGGAATATTCAAACCGTAGTGGTGGTTTCGAGTACTGACCACCATAATCAACACAAATACCCTTCATTGTGAGCATTCTCTTTCGTGAATTGGTAACATGAATCAAAACGTAATTTCGATTGAGGTTGTTCCGCTTCTTTTGGAATCCGAGATGAAGAACATACAATAATTAAGTACAAAAGATAGTGCAATTAATTTCAAAATTTTATTGTGTAAAAAAAATTAAATAATTGAACTTACTCGAAGGTGTGAATGAATTGGCCCTAACCGAAAAACCTTTTGTATATCTAATTCATTCATTCAAGTTATAGGAAACACAAGATAAACTTGACTCTTGTGAAAAAAAGATTTGCCATCTAATATTGTTCTAACTTAATTAATATAAATATTTAGAAGATATTTCGATGACTTCAATATCAGTAGGTAGTTAGAAAAAAATAGTAAACGAAACCAAATCCTTTTTTCTTTGAAGAACGATTAAAATCTTATTTATATTTTGAGGTACAAGTACAGGAAATTGGAAGGCTATATATAATACAACAATCAAATTCCACAAACTAAACAAATTCAACGAAATATAAAGTAAAAAATCAACAGAACTTGAAATTTTTTCTTAGAAAAATATAAAAAGGATTTCATATCTAATACACCAAAAAACCTAGAAAAAATAAAAACCCCCAACAAAATATAAACCCCAAAAAAATGGAGAAATCCAATCTACCTGTAAATGTACAATTGAGCAAAGCCACCAAGAAGAACGAACCCAAAAGGAAGGAAACAAACTTGATGGCGCATTCTGAGAGAAAGATAAAAATTAAAGAATAGGACCATTAATAAAAAAAACATGAAACGAAACACTCAATCGACCAAAGAAAGAAATGCACATATTCAAAACCCTACCGAAGATCCCCATCCCACCAGATTTGTTCTTCTTCTTCTTCTTCTTCTTCTTCTTCTTCTTCTCCTCTACCGTATACTTCGGCTGCCCGTAGTAACCACATTGCCCGTAAGATTGCTTCCCGTAACTTGGTTGACTGTAGGAAGGCGCATTGTAGGGATAACCTGACGACGGAGCAGAATAAGTTGGCGACGGTGGTGGTTGCATATAGGTTGCCGTATGGTGGTGGTGCTGCAGGGTAATCTCTATTCCCCGGTGGAAAAAGAAAAAAGGAGAAATGAGAAATTTTTTTTGGGGAGGAAGTGGAGTAGGTGAAAATAGAATACATGGCAATGAAAATAACTGGAGAGAGAAAACATTTCTGTGAGAGAAGAGAAAAGAATGAGGTGATGGTTGGGTGTGAAATCTGAAATAACAGTAAGGTGGTTTAGTGGTTTGAAATGGCGTCATTTTAAGGTCCCTTTTTAAAAAAAAAAAAAAATATCAGGATAGTATCATAATGACGCATTATGAACAGTAATAAAGTTTGATACTCCTTACTTTGAGTTGCATGGTGTTCACCCTTCTTACACTTTCTTAGGAGTATTTGGTTCTAAATGTTTTCCTTACACTTAGGACATAAACAAAAACAAATTTAACCCTAAAACACTAACTTGTGTTTTGTGAGATACAGTGATATCACAAAGGATACAAATGCATTCACCTGTCTAGTTAAAAACATGTTAATCTCTTGACATGTAGTCTTCAATGACACCAGTTTCTCATTTTAGAAGTCATAATGGTGCACTGGAATTTCCTCGTACCAATGGTTTAGCATTTTTGACTAATAGATTACCTTACCTCTTCAACAATCTGACTCACAGATGTTGTCTATCAAAGTCAATAATATTGCAATTCTTCATCTACTCTGCTACCCGGTTTGATACCTCATGATGTTTCAATGGATACAACTAATGGACATTCACTCTCCCAAGTGCCAGTTGTAGTCACAACTCCCCTAGAGAGTTTTTTGTTTAGTATGAATAAAAGTCCAATTCCACCAGTGATTCCTACACATGAAACTCAAACGACAAGCCCTTTTGAAGACATTGCAATGTGTTCGACTTAGAGCCCAACTTTTTTTTCTCCTTCAGATTTATCCTCGACTTCTATGTCACCTAGTTTTCATTTTCCTCAAAGGATATAGTGATTCAAATTGGGGAGCTTGTCTAGATACCAGGAAGTTTGTGACAGGTTATTGTGTGTTTATAGGAAGTTCTTTGGTGTCTTGGAAATAAAAGAAGCAAGGAGTTATCTCAAGATCATCTACTGAACCAGAGTACAGGGCAATGGCTAATGTATGCTGTGAATTAACTTGGCTTGGCTACCTATTTAAGGACCTACAAGTTGCACATCCACAAAGTGAAAAGTAGTACTGCGATAGCAAATTAGCCATACACATTGCTACAAATCATGTCTTTCACGAAAGAACAAATCACATAGAGATAGATTGTCACTTGCTCTGAGATAAATTTCAAGAAGGGAGNATCCAAACTACCTGTAAATGTACAATTGAGCAAAGCCACCAAGAAGAACGAACCCAAAAGGAAGGAAACAAACTTGATGGTGCATTCTAAGAGAAAGATAAAAATTAAAGAATAGGACCATTAATAAAAAAAACATGAAACGAAACACTCAATCGACCAAAGAAAGAAATGCACATATTCAAAACCCTACCGAAGATCCCCATCCCACCGGATTTGTTCCTCTTCTTCTTCTCCTCTACCATATACCTCGGCTACCCGTAGTAACCACGTTGCTCGTAAGATTGCTTCCCGTAACTTGGTTGACTGTAGGAAGGCGCACTGTAGGGATAACCTGACGACGGAGCAGAATAAGTTGGCGACGGTGGTGGTTGCATATAGGTTGCCGTATGGTGGTGGTGCTGCAGGGTAATCTCTATTCCCCGGTGGAAAAAGGAAAAAGGAGAAATGAGAAATTTTTTTTGGGGAGGAAGTGGAGTAGGTGAAAATAGAATACATGACAATGAAAATAACTGGAGAGAGAAAACATTTCTGTGAGAGAAGAGAAAAGAATGAGTTGATGGTTGGGTGTGAAATCTGAAATAACAGTAAGGTGGTTTAGTGGTTTGAAATGGCGTCATTTTAAGGTCCTTTTTTTAAAAAAAAATAACATCAGGATAGTATCATAATGACGCATTATGAACAGTAATAAAATTTGTTCTTTTATATATTGTAGTGAAATCCACTTCCATCTTCTGCTATTAATTTTGATACTCCTTACTTTGAGTTGCATGGTGTTCACCCTTCTTACTCTTTCTTAGGAGTATTTGGTTCTAAATGTTTTCCTTACACTTAGGACATAAACAAAAACAAATTTAACCCTAAAACACTAAGGATATAGTGATGTCACAAAGGATACAAATGCATTCACCTGTCTAGTTAAAAACATGTTAATCTCTTGACATGTAGTCTTCAATGACACCAGTTTCTCATTTTAGAAGTCATAATGGTGCACTGGAATTTCCTCATACCAATGGTTTAGCATTTTTGACTCATAGATTACCTTACCTCTTCAACAATCTGACTCACAGATGTTGTCTATCAAAGTCAATAATATTGCAATTCTTCATCTACTCTGCTACCCAGTTTGATACCTCATGATGTTTCAATGGATACAACTAATGGACATTCACTCTCCCAAGTACCAGTTGTAGTCACAACTCCCCTAGAGAGTTTTTTGTTTATTATGAATAAAAGTCCAATTCCACCAGTGATTCCTGCACATGAAACTCAAACGACAAGCCCTTTTGAAGACATTGCAACGTGTTCGACTTAGAGCCCAACTTTTTTTTCTCCTTCAGATTTATCCTCTACTTCTATGTCACCTAGTTTTCATTTTCCTCAAAGGATATAGTGATTCAAATTGGGGAGCTTGTCTAGATACCAGGAAGTTTGTGACAGGTTATTGTGTGTTTATAGGAAGTTCTTTGGTGTCTTTGAAATAAAAGAAGCAAGGAGTTATCTCAAGATCATCTACTGAAGCAGAGTACAGGGCAATGGCTAATGTATGCTGTGAATTAACTTGGCTTGGCTACCTATTTAAGGACCTACAAGTTGCACATCCACAAAGTGAAAAGTCGTACTGCGATAGCAAATTAGCCATACACATTGCTACAAATCATGTCTTTCACGAAAGAACAAAACACATAGAGATAGATTGTCATTTGATCTGAGATAAATTTCAAGAAGGGAG